TTACACTGGTTACCTCATCCAGTGAATTACTTTTGGGTTTTGTGCTTGTGTAGTTTAAGTGTCATTCAGGCATTAACTCAAAGTCCACAGAACTTCTTGACTGAAATATATATATATATATATATATATATATATAAGATTGGGGCATGAGTTATAGGGAAGTTAACACCAACAGGGCAAGTCTGTTCACTCCAGAGGCCAACTCTACAATGAAACTGGAAGTCTGCATCATAGTCATAACTTATGCTAACAAAATATGGTTCTCTATCCCTTCCAGCCCCAACTCATGTCTAGCCATGCCATACACAGTGAGCTAGAAGACCAAGTTTGTTAACAATTTCCAGCTTGTGCTTTTTAGGCCTCCTAGTCTGCAGTTCCACCTCTGTGGACATATTATTTAAGTCAGCTCAGAGCATGCCAGTAGTCAGGTTTTTGCCCTAGGACTAAAGTTGGAGAGTAATGATAAAGCAAATAAGAAAAAGAAAACCTCTGGCAACAAATTTGAACCCCTGCATACCATTTCCCAAAAGGAACAGAAATAATGGAAGTTTCCTCCTATAGTGCTCAGCTATATATGCCCTGAGTGGCTGCTCTGTTCATCAGTCAGTCTGCATTTGAAATAGAAGCGACAATGCAGATGACCCTGTTTTAGGGAAGAGTGTTCTATTGTTATTTGACTAGTAAGCATGGCAAGTATACATAAATCAGAGTCTGATTCGTGCATTAGTGAAACTGCGTATTTGCCCAATTGTATCATAAACAGTGTGAATTCTGGATTACCTTTACATAGGATAATTATTCACAACAAAAGCAAGCATGCACTGCATACACTTTTCTGACAGTGCACTAAACTTGCAGTTTATCAAAAACTAGACCAATTTCACTCTCCCCAACTGTTTGAAAGCTCAGATGGAGATGTACCCATTTTGCATGAACAGGGTACAAAACATACTTCAAGGCTAAGTACAGACAGTCAAAAATCCCGAGGCTGATCAATTCAGTCTTTGCAGGTTCATCTAAGCTGTGTAGAGTGAATCAGTAAGCAAGTGACCAGACATTCAGTTTTGATTCCAGCAATACAGCCACAAGTCTGCAATGGCCCAGGCCAGAAGCCAGGTGGTGCTAGAGCACACCTCCCTGCTCTGCTGGAGCAGACAGCTTGGGCCAAAGGGGGCGAGGGGGTGATGGAAGGGAGAGAGACTTGCAAAGCATCGTGGGATGCTAGGGGACTGTGTGTTAACTTGAAGCTGGAGGGGATCTGGGACAGAAGTTCAGTACACCTATTTAACCTAAATCAGTTAAGCCTGACACTACATCCATTCAGATTTATCATAAACCAGTTTTGGGCATTCTGAAAGCAGTGTGCGCGCTGAGGTTCTGTTGCGTTACAGATTTGAACCAGTTTCTGATCACTTATACCGGTTAACGTGTAAATTTCTGTTCCCAGTGTCCATTTTTAAATTATGGTCTGTATTCCTGAACCTACTGCTGAAAAATGGCTCTATTCTAGAGCATTACATCAGTTGTCACTATAGTTCTTGCCCAGATTTCTAAATCTGTATCAAAAGCAGAACAGAAACATTTTAATAGTTCTCTTTTCAGTTTCTGTTTCTTGTGTTTACTGGAAATAGAGTTTAAAGTCTCATGTGTAGACAACTATCCTCCTCTCCAGTAAGAGAACTAAAGATATTTCAGGCCTTAAAAGATGTAAATAAACACCTAAGCACCTAATAATCCAGTAGTTTTATTAGTCTGTATTTTTCAAGGACTTGTCTTTTACTTTCCAGATATATTGCTCAGTTAATTTTTGCACCAAAGAGCTTGTTGCCTCCAGCAGATAGCTGGGCTAAGCAAGATGGGTGGAGTTTCCTTTCAAGCAACAGCAAGATATTACTCACTATACAAATAATGGTATTTGAAATAAGATAATCAGTTCACATTTTTCAGCCAAAGACAGCACACATGTTGGTAACCTGTTCAATATACACACGTGGCGTTATTGCATCTCCTCCTAGTGCAGCGATATCAATTCAGCGTGCCATAGCAGATTATTGCTTGCACCGATTGAGAAGCCAATCTGTTTGATGCTTGGGAGGAAACAGGGAGGCTTACAATGTTTATTATAAGCAGATGAATTAGATTGTTACAATATGAAGTCATGGGAAATGCTCAATCATGTTGTTACTATTACATCACTCAAATGTTCAGCAGCTCACACCCAGGTTATTTCTTGGCCTCCCACACCCATACAAGCAATAAATGGTTTTCAGATAAATACTTTTCTCATTGTATGTTGAGCAACACTGTCAGCTACCATCTGCAGCAACACTTTACCTACCTAATCCATACTTACACCAAAAGCTAGAAAAAATAAGTTCTTAGCTGCTTCTTTCCTGGAACAGTGGACAATCAGTTAATATATTTCTAAGAGTTTACTCATCCAACATAAGGAATTTCAGAATTCCACCTTATTCTAGACTTCAGTGGAACTAATGTGCTAATTCCCTTGTACCTGACACTGTTACAGTCCATAATATTTCAATTATCAGGATTTTTTAACCAACAAAAAACAAAACAGTCTGCTCACCCAAATCTAAGAAGCCAGATTCTACATGGGCTAGGTGAGAGGATGATCCACACACACAGGTGCCAGCAAAGGGGAACCACCTAAACAAAATAAGAAAAAAAAAAAAGTTAGAAATAAATCAAACGCCACTTTTACTTCCTGCACTAAATCTACCTGAACAAAACACCACCTATAATAGATTAAAAATGTGGTTTTTATTTAACGCAAAATGGGTCAGAAAGAAAGGTGCAAAGGGGATCAGGGGTTTTAATGTGATTGCTATTTTCTAGATGAAAAACACACCACATCTTAAGCTTTGAACTTATGTGAAACTCTGGATATTAAAGCAAAATATGCTTCTGAAGTATGGATTGATTGGCTTTCCTGCAGGAAAGCCAATCTTAAATTCAGACCTATACAAGTGCATAGTGTATAAACGTTTACAAAAAAAGAGCAACCTTAGGAGGTGCATGTTTAGTGTCTTTAAATATACTTAACTGACAGGCTTTTGGCTGCAGGTGATTTTGGTATGGACAAAGGTTAAAGCACAAAACACTTTGTTTCTACTTCCATTACATTATAAATTTAGTCCAATATTGGAAACTGCATTGAACCAATAATTTTCATATATTCAATGTTTAAAGCATCTGTGTTATTTTTAGCAACTGGCAATTACTGCAAGCAAAGCTTAACATTAATCTTTACATAATAAAGTAGAAAAAAAAATTAATGCTAACTCCAGACACAATATTTCCTGAGAAGCTAAACCAACCCAAACCATCACTATCAGAGTTGACAGCATTACTTCATCATCATAACATAAACCACTGCTAAGTATCACCTTATGAAATTCAGGAGTGGCTTTCAACCACAGAACACATCCCAACACAAAACCAGGAGACATCATGGAAAAAGGTAGAATTCACCCTGAATAACACTGCAGAGACTCTAAGCCAATGCCATCTTACACCGAAAGGATCTGCACAAATGGCTTCTCTACCTTTGCGATAACTAGATAAAGGCTTTGCAAATTTTGCACGCATGCATCCAACAGAGAACAAAGAGATGGGAGAGGTGTTAAGCGGATGTTTTGCTCCCATAAACATTGTGCAGGTAAATAAAATATGAAGTGCTCAGTTTACTCCTACCCTAGTCCGATGTAAATCCCTGTTCACAGAAGCTGTCCTGAATTCTAGACCAAGGATGGAAAGGGAAGCATCCAAAGAGAAGCATCTCTCTTTGGATGCTTGAGGCCAGTGGCTTTCTGGCCTTTCTGGACTCAAGGCACGCCTCCACAACTTTTCTGGTACCCAATTTCAAAACAAATGTATATATTATAGTGTCTACCTCATTGAACAGGGGCTGGGCAGTGAGGGCG